GCGTTACTTCTGCCTTCCGGAGAAGCTACAACATTTTTACACCTGAAAATCTATGCAAACACTTCCCCCTTGTTCTTCAGGCTCTCTGTATGCATTGCGAAATCGTCGTTTTTCCACAACTTTCTAGGGGAATTGTAACTTCGAGAGAGGATCACACACTGTCAGCTAACTACCTGCAGCTGTCTGCTCCACTTTAATTCCCTTCATTATCTCGGGCCGCTTTCACCAACGACGCCGTTGAAGAATTTGACTAACCACAGGAGTGCAATATGTGCGCATTGATTTTGCGGAACTGGGAGGCTTCGCGAATAGGACCAGGAATGAACTGTTCTAGCCCAAGAATTGGCAAAATCGACCCGTATCCACTCCGTTTCGCTAGTTCTTCCAATTCCGCGAACCTTCAAGTTTCACAGTCCTCCACCTTGGCGCTGGATGTGACCAGGGCCTAGTTTCCACGTCATCACCTTTTATCACCACTGTTTCACTTGATAAGGTTCATTACTACCGATAGGCTTCGTGTTAACTGATAAGAACTAACCATGGAGCGTAGAATTTCACCAAGGCGACTTCGTGTGAAGGTATAAGTTCCTCGAAGTTGCTGTCAGTGTATTCCAGGACATCTCCGGAAGCAGAAATGCCCAGAATCAACGCGACCAACACACAAACGATCCTCATTCCTGATTTTTACCCTGAAACATGTTCAATGAAGTTTTTACTGAATAAAATTGAAGCAAGAAGAATTGCGAATACGAGGAGGATGTCGCAATGGTTGAATGCCATGCATGCATGACAGGGATGAGAGGGGAAAAATGCTAATCGATAGTTTCTGAAATGAACCAAACGGACTGAACCTGTGGGTGGGACACGTCAGCCCTGATCGACAACCAGACGATCTTGACCCTATTGCAATGCCCAAATGGGAACGGGCGGACAGCCGACAGCCCCCTATCGATCGGTGCGCCCTGGTTATTGTGAAAGCACATGTGACAGGGCGTGAGAGGCGCGCGGTAGGACGTGCCACCCGTGCATGCAGGACCGCACGACCCGAATAGGGACCCCGACGGAATCCCCGGGGAAGCTCCAAAATGGGAGTTGCTTGGAAGGTAACGACCACACGAAACTAGCATCATCACTACTTCAGCGCGACCG